GTGATCGAAGTAAGCATTAAGGACAAGATCTATGAACAAAACATACTAACGAACGTTTTATCAATTATTCAATAGTTTGTATAGGAGTGATCGAAGTAAGTGTTAGGAACAAGATATGTGAACAAAATATATTAACGAACGTTTTATCAATTATTCAATAGTTTGTGTAGGAGTGATTGAAATAAGTGTTAAGGAAAAGATCTATGAAACTTACAAAATATACTAACGAACGTTTTATCAATTATTCAATATTTTGTGTAGGAGTGATTGAAGTAAGTGTTAAGAACAAGATCCATGAAACTTGCAAAATATACTAACAAACGTTTTATCAATTATTCAATAATTTGTATAAGAGTGATTGAAATAAGTGTAAGGAAAAAATCTATGAAACTTACAAAATATATTAACGAACGTTTTATCATTTATTCAATAGGTTGTGTAGGAACGATCGAAGTGTTAAAGATAAGTTCTATGAACAAAATATATTAACGAACGTTTTATCAATTATTCAATATTTTGTATAGGAGTGATCGAAGTGATCGAAGTAAGTGTTAAGGACAAGATCTATGAAACTCGCAAATATATTAACGAACGTTTTATCAATTATTCAATAATTTGTGTAGGAATGATCGAAGTAAGTGTTAAGGATAAGATCTATGAACAAAATATACTAACGAATGTTTTATCAACTATTCAATAGTTTGTGTAGGAGTAATTGAAGTAAGTGTTAAGGATAAGATCTATGAACAAAATATACTAACGAAAGTTTTATCAATTATTCAATAGTTTGTATAGGAGTGATCGAAGTAAGTGTTAAGGATAAGATATATGAACAAAATATACTAACGAACGTTTTATCAATTATTCAATAGTTTGTATAAGAGTGATCGAAGTAAGTGTTAAGGATAAGATATATGAACAAAATATACTAACGAACGTTTTATCAATTATTCAATAGTTTGTATAAGAGTGATCGAAGTAAGTGTTAAGGATAAGATATATGAACAAAATATACTAACGAACGTTTTATCAATTATTCAATAG